GTTGGTTGACTCCATGCAACACAGATGTACAGCAGTTATCAGAAACAGTGCTTATACAACTAAATATTAATTAAGTGATTCAAAGGAAAGCAAAATCTTCAAACATTTTTCAGTTTATATAGTGAATGTTTGAGTTTGTAAAGAAGAATACAAACACTGCTATTTTTTTTTGAACAGTCTAATATTCACTTTTCTTCAATTTTTTAGAGGAACAACACAAATTTGATATATTTTTCTTCATGTTTTGATTTGGAATAGAATGTGTAGTGTTCCCAATGCATTTGTGTGTATGGAAATAAAAGATATTAGAAGGATTTTGAGCTTTATTCACTTTTTTTCGACACATTGCTATTATTTTGAACACAACTGTACCTAATAATTGTGCACACAGTGTATTGTCCACTGTCAGGAAGCTGGTGCACAACAATCACATGAAGTGATTGCACATAGACAGAAAGTGGCTTAAAGAGGCAAGGGAAGATCAGGAACACTGATGTAAAAAAGGATTAAAGGTAAAAACAGTATTTTATAGGAAAATGGCAAATTATTTATAAAACACTGTTCTTTATACCTAAATGGTGTCCATTTAGGGGTTATACTGTATCTACTTAAATATTTCATTTTGGCATTCATCTTGTCTAGTATACTGACCAACTCATTAAGCCCTTGTGTGTTTGTGGCCTAGAACAGGACGTTTTAAAGAGGCAGAGGGAATTTCTCTGGGTTGTAAATTTTTTAGGTCCTTTATGAGCACCAGCAGAAGACAAAATATATTTTCATTTATACAATGTATAATAGTTCTGTTATAAAATATGTTTGGAAATAAGCAACCTGTGGTCACAGCAGCATATTTGGGAAGCCTAGGAGTATGCATAACTGAAATTCTTGCACAACAGTCTCTCTCTGGATAATATGCGTTTCACCACCTCTTCAATATTAGACAAGTAACATGCAGGTTTATATATTTATATACTATAGGCATTTATATCATGCTGACAATTGACATTCACATATGTTCTGCTCTCAAGAAGCTTACAAACTAAAGTCCCTAACTCACATGCATACACACCCACACATTCTAGGGCCAATTTAGACAGGATTCAATTATCGTGCCAGCATATCTTTGGAATATGAGAAGAAACCACATAAGCACAGGGCAAACATGCAAACTTTCTGCAGATAGTGTCCTAGCCTCATTCAAACAAGGACTCCACTGTTGCAAGGCAAAAGTGGTAACCACTAAACAAGTTATTTTTATTTGTTGCATCTAAAGCTTGAAATTTTCAAAATACCTTCATAAGGAATGTTTACCTTATGGTCCAAACATTAAATGCAAACACAATCCTTGGATGTGAACTGGTTCTGAGGGCATTCCAATCAAATTTGAACTAAGATTTAAAGTGGTATTAAACCCAAAAGCAAACATTTATTAAATTACAGCTTCCCAATATTAGGCGTGATTGATGCATTAATTTTCTTTTTTTAGGCTTTCTTTCCTGTATTTTCTTTTAGCGATCCTGCCGGTAAGTCAATTTTTCGACAGAACAAGCTCTCCTACAACTGTAGCAGTTAGAGTTTTGAGACAAACTATTTACCACTGATAGGAGTGTCTACAGTCGGTTTATTTATTGATGTAAAACCTTTAAACCAAAAGAAAAAAAAACGTTGCTGTAAATGTTTGTTTAACTGCAATGTGAGCTGAAGTTTGCTAAATCTGCTAGTACATCCAACACTCCCCCCCAGACTGATGAATATGCTGTCCAAAAGTGCCTCTGTGCTCCTCCATCCAGAGTGGAGACACTCTAATGCAGGAGGTGTGTTACTGGCCATATCACCAAGTGTACACAGAGGGCAAAAAGTCTGAAAAAGAAAACTAATGCAGCCACCACAATGTAAGGCATTAGTAAGTTGAAATATATTACATTTTTAGTTTTGGGTTTAATACCGCTTTAAGCTGGCCATACACATATAGATTGTTCCTATTCAGCTCCAGATTCAACAGATTCCTCAAACAGATGACTCTCTGCTGCTATTGTATTCTCATAGATGTCCTTGCTAGCTGTCAAAATACCTCTAAAAGTGCCTGCAACTGATTTGATGAAGGTGGCTGTTCAGCTGACAATTTCCCATCCGACTCTTTCAATTTTTCAATTGGGGAATTTTTGGGGTAGGAGGCAGTCAGCAGGGCCATCCACTGAGTGAATTTTAGCCAATTCATCAGGAACCAGCCAAAATTCACTCTGACTATGGCCAGCTTTACTGTGCTGTCCATTCAATTGGCTCACCCATACAGAGAAATGTAATCCTAATGTGTTCCTCTGTCCATGGTAGAAAGCAGTGAAAGTAACCCTGTAGTGTACACTCAATAGAATCTAAATGCATGGAGGGGGTGGAGGAAGGGAAGCAGTGTTCAAAACTTTCAGATTAAAATACATTTTTATCATGTTAAAGTGGTTGCACACCTCAGACATGAAATATGAAAAAGCATATCCCTCTATGGTTTTTTACTTCCAACATGTTTTCCTGTCACTAAAAGAAAAATGGTGACAGGAGAGTGACCTCCAGCAGTCTGACAGCCTCAGCTCAGTTCCAGTGTGCTATGTGAAGTGTGTGTGGGGGTGTCCCTTCCCTCCAATCAGCTCTCAGAGCTCTCCTCACTGCAGTGTGTAATTCAGCTCTCTGCCCGTTTTCTGACAGCTCAGACAAGCTTTATAAATTATGTAGTTTGAATGGAGACGAAAGGCCTGCAGATAGACATGTGAAACTTATATAGGAGGCTTTGTTTCATCTAATCCCCTGAAACCAGTCATTCAGGGTTTAAAAACCATTTTAAATACAAGGGTTTCTATTGCTGACCCCTCCTTCTGAATTTTATAGTTGTCTAGCTGTCATGGTTTAAATATTAACTGAACCCCAACAGCTATGTAGACCAGATGGTCTGATCTTTCTTGTTGCATTCCTGTTTCAAGACAGTTGTGCAGTATCTGTGTTTTACTCAGTATATTCTATAAAAAGCCAGAAAAAAAACATTTTAAAAACTGCATAGCAATGGCAGCTTACATATTTCCTGCAGTATAGATTGTCTTACAATCCTCTCTTTGCAATTTAAAGTGTATCTAAAGTTTTCTTATTTGGATTATGGTCAGGGTTTTACAGTTCTGTCACCCCACTGTGGAGATTCACCATCTTCACCTAATAGTTTCAAAAAGATCAAAAGAGAGAAAGTAAACCTTTTTAAAGCAAAGTAAAACCTTTCCAATGGGACACAGATAGAAAAAAAAGTTCTTCACATTGAACAAGTTGTGAGGTTCTAGGATATTAAAGGTAAACAAGCGTAATATTTGAGGAGACTTTGGGCTTGATTTATTGAAGGCAAATATAAGTGCATGTAAGTCTTGCTTAGCTTTAATATAGAGAAAAAATTAATTTTGCAAAGATCACCCAATCAAAGAAGAATGTGATTGAGTGATGGAAGTCAGCAGTTTCACTTTATTCACTAAGCTAAGCAAAATTCCCTTGCAAAGCGAACTATTTGCCTTTAGTAAATCAAACCCTTTGATGTAAACTTTCATTTTTCATGCTTAGAAAATAAGGTGAAGAGCCTAATATTAGACTACAGCCTGAGAACGTATAAATTACATTAACGGTCTTTTACTGTTAAGCATGATGACACATTCCCCTGCTGTTAAGTATGGTACAGAGAAACAAAGACAACATTAGATAGAAAGGCAATAGCCAACATATCAACTTTATTAAAAAAGGAATAAAAGAAAAAAGTTGAAAAACATAAGCTTTTATTCGAGCCTGGATAAATCTACAACTGGTAACTATGCTATAATTCTTAAGGCAAAGTCTCATGTTAATATTATATATTTATGCATATATTATATCTGTTCTATACGTATATTTAAAAAAAAATAACCAAGACCTGGTGACTGTTTTAATAAGGGTACATACTCACAAGACCTAGGACAACTACATCTGGGGGCTGTGAGGCCATTTTATATTTAGTACCTTTGGTTCAGTGTTTATGAAATTGCCCAAGCTGGCCATACTCTAGTAGAATTTCATTAGAAAAATGTAATTGTAGGATTTATAATTGTTAGTGGGGTCAAATTGATGTACCTTTTTGATCACAGTGACCATAAAGTTTAAAGAAGCAGGATGGAAATTGTTTTCTCAAATTTTGAACGGTCAATGTGGTTTTTGTTCGGGAAAGTCTTTTCACTCCAAAATTGAATGTTAAAAGTACTTTCAAAGGACATTTGCTATGGCATCAAATGTACTGATGAGAATGTTTGTGCAAATGTTCATGTGAATATTCAAATGAACGTTCATTTGTTTGAAAATCTAATAGTTTTTGGCCAGCCAATGTTCACTGACACTTTGCTCAGAGCTGTACAGCTTTCTATGCGTATCTAATAGTGACCAAGGTTTGTACTGACAGACATGTCAGGTATCTCTGCAATGGACAATTTCACCAACTGGAACTGGGAGTGCTAAACACAGACTTGTTCAGGCATCTCTAGATGCAAAGTCGGAGGATTTGTGAATATAACCCATTTTTTTTAAATTAACAACTAAATAATTTTATAAAAATCACATTGGTACATATCACTCAGTTATTATCAATAAACTTGCCTAATGTAAGCAGAACCTATTGTATGAACAGAAGTGACCATACAATTATGTTCAGAAATTAATATTTTATTATACTATATATTAGTAGTAAAGTTTCTTTGAAGTGCATGAATAAAAAGTGAAACAGGAGAAACAATCTATATAGCAATGATAGGTGCATTCACTGTGCATCTGAGAGAAATAAAAGAGAGTTCTCAGTCTATTTGGCCTAAAACTTTGTGTTCAGGTTTCTAAGATTCTGATATCAGAACCCAGATAACACTGATTAGAACCATAGGGCTTTACAATAAAAGCTAAAATATTGACCATATGATGGCAAAAAAGTCTTTTTTATTGTTTTTTGGTTAACTTATTCCCTTCTAGCTACTTTCCGACGAAGTTGGAGGTGCTGTGGATGAAGACCGCCGCCTTCTTGACACAGACCGTGATCGCTCGATGCTATACGCAACATGCTTGTCATAATTTTGCAGCTGAGCTTCCATCAAGTCCCTTTGTTGTTGGCTTATTGTCTGACTAATCAGTCCAGGGAGAGCTTGAATGCTACCAATTAATGTCTCTAGCTTCGTCTCTAAGACAACAATCCTCTTCTCAAAGTCTTCACTTCTTTCATTTAGATCCGAGATCATGTCATACATGATGTTTTGAGTCTGGGAGAAAAAAGGGAAAAAAATTATAATTTTTTTTGTTGTCACTGTGTGCAGTGTCTGAAAGCTATTACCTGACACACTACATAGAGCAAACAAAGAATATATAAACCCAAAAACTAAAATGTAATATATTGTAGCTTATAAGCTATCAGATGCAGTAGAATTTAGCATTATTTTTCTTTTTACAGCTTAGTACCTTTTCTGTAAGAACAGAGAAGTAGGAATTTTTTACATAACTGTAAATTTTATATTTTGGAGTACAGTACAGGACACAGGAGTTGATTCTTAGGTCATGGGACATCCCCAAGCAATACATCAGGGGGTAGAACACAAAACAGCCAAAATGTCAGCAACACAGGAACAGTTCACAGCTCACAGTAAAAACAAAAAGGGTCAACAGACTGGAGCAGACAGACGGAAGCAGACATACTTTGCAGAGGAAGCAGGTGTCAGTAGAGCCTCAAACAGCCAAATGTCTAGAAACTTTTTTAAAAATGTGTAAAGAAGAACAGGCTTTGGCCCTGTGACTCTTGAGAAGTACTGATGCTAGATGCTGTTAAATACCCAAGAAAAAAAAGCACTAGGGGAATGGGTACAGGTAGGGAAAGAGACAATTTTCTTGAGGCAGAAGCCCTAAAGAAGAGTAAATTAACTACACAGCTGTGTGGAAAAGGAGGGAGGAACAACATAGAGGACCACACTGAGAGAAATGCAAGAGGGGTCAGTTGGCAAGGTAATACATGATAGGCAACCATAGATGATGGTGCTGACCCATCCATAAAATGTATGGTAAGTGTTTGGCATGTCCTAAAGGCATGACAGAGGGAGTGAAAATTACATTACCACAAAAGGTGACAAAAAGGCCCCTAGGGAATCAAGAAGGACAGGCTTCTAGGATACTTTATTCCATAATAAAAGGACGGAGACCCCAGGAAGAAAATGCAGGAACCAGACCAGGGCTACAACTGTTGAAGTGGAATTCCACTTTACACCTAACTAGCCATGGTGCCAAAACCCTTCCTAACAGCTATGCAAATTAACCTGTGTCAAAAAAGATGTGTATACTTACCTATTTTCAGGCCATTTTCAGATCAGGTGACGTGACGTGATCTGGCTCCCCTACATCAGCCATCAAGCATTCAGAGGAGAGGAAAGAATACTGACAACGGATGATCCATTGGAGCCTATGGTTAACATCACCACTCCAGGCTTAATAGCTAGGTAAGTACATACATCTTTCTTACACAGGTTAGTTAGTATACGTGTTAAGAGGGGAGATGAAACAGTTTTAAGCTTAGTTAGGTGTAAGCTGGAGTTCCACTTTAAGGGTAATGTAGAGAAAAATATCCCATTCTTTCAGAGGCCCCTTAATAAAGGAGTAGCAAAAAAAGAGGCTCTGTGTGGAGAAGAGCATCTGGGGAAGGTCCCAGAGGGACACAGAAATTTGCTAAGGAGATGAAGTAGCGCAACTTCTTGCAAAAGACAGTGCCCAAGTGAGTGCATAGTCAAAGTGTTTTCTAGATTATATACAAGGACTAACCAAGACCTGCCAGGTATCAAAGGCTAGGTGTCCTGCAAGTTCAACAAATTTGCAAAATGAGGAATGGGAACAATTTCTAGCATAGGGTTTCCCATCAGCACACTGGCTGAAAACTACCTCACATGATAGATTAAACAGTATGGGAGAAACAATCTGTATGCCCGAGAGGAAAGGCATCCAACTTTAAGGTTGCTTAACTGATGAATATTAGGGAATTGGAGATGCTGGGAGATCTCAGAGTCTGCAGAGCTGTCATAAACGAATATGGCAGGTATGTACAGACTGCACGTGACAGGAAAACATGCACATAAAGGGGGGTACTGAGGACGGGGGCCATGCAAACTTTTCCAGTACTAGGTCAGTGTAGAAGTTGACGAGCATCAAGGACAATTCTTTTAAGAAAGTAACAGCAAAAAGACTGCTCAGCTTGCAAAACAGGCAACCCAGTGATCCTTGACAGTGATATGGAGAGGGAGGATATAACAAGACACGGGGCAGAGATTAAGTGTTGTAGGCCAGGGAGCCATATAATGAAGCTGGGCTCAACGTGTAGTGAGGAGTATAGTGGCAGTCACCAGAAGTGGAGAAACCAGGCACTCTCATGAAGATGCACCTGAAGGTATTAATGGCAGTCTGTTCATGAACATGGTGTCAGCAAAAATAAATACCATGCTGAATGGGATGTAAGATATATATATATATATATATGTATTTTTATATAAAGATTTTTAAGAAAAAGACTTCCAAGGCACCGTGGTACATTAAGGCTCAGGGTCTGATTTGGGGTTGAATGATATAGCGGCACAAGATGTGATAAGATTGGCAATGTAAAAAAACTACATTGAAGTATGGAGAGATGGGAAGCAAAACATCTTTGCATTGCAGTTGCTGTGAACGTTAGACGCTCTCTCTATGTGAGTTATAATAGTAAGTCTATAAAAGAGCAGACAGAAGGCACTCTGCTGGGGTAGACTTTGCAACAAGTATAAAGGAGACCAACCAGGAGGCTGTTTACTTCAGTAAACAGAACAGAAGAGTATAATGGGACATGTGTTGTTGAATAGATAGGGGTCCATGTGCAAGATCTTGAATATCCTTGAAATACTCCCTAAAAAGGGAAGGAGATAACCCCCCTCCCCCTGTGATCCTAAGCTGAAACGATGTATAAGAAAAACAGTCTGCCTTGTGAAGCAGCAAGTAAGAAGTGGTAGCAAAGGAAAAAAAACAGAGAGAGGACAACAATAGAGATTCTTTGTGTGCCTATCCAAGGGACAGAGTGAATTTAAATGTATTTGCCTAATGCTGAGCAAATGTTAATAGATGTTCCTCTTCCCCCCTTTAAGACAAGGGGTGGGGGCAAATTTTAATGCAAAGGTTTTTGAGCAGGTTCTGCCACAATGTGAAGGACCTTCAGTAGATCATGATTTCCTGAGGGGATGAACAGATTTTATCTACATGGCAGAGGAGGTCCATAGAATGGGGAGGCAAGATTGAGCATAGAGGGTAGGAACCCACTTCCCTCAGTATCTGCCTCAATGTATTCCTCAAGAAGATTTTCAAAGAGGAACCTTCAAAGGGCACATTTCACAAGGGTGTTCTGCTGACCAGGCTTTAAGGTGGTAGTAAACTGCAAAACAATACAACAAAAAAAACTTCTCACTGCAAGTTAAGAGCATAATGTGCTAATATGCATTGCATTATAAAACAAAGCCCTTCAGTAGAGCACTGCCTCAGCTCTCTGGGGCTTCCATCATCACCTAGTCTTCCTTCCTGGGTTCGTGGGTTGCGGCTGCTTGACTGGCCGAGCCAACATGACATCATTCAAAGGACGGTACGCTGTCCATTGAGAGTGCAGTGTGCATGGCCGGTGCCCGTGCTGCTAAAGTAAATGTCTCATAAACCGTGCACATTTAGGAGATATTTACTGTACCAACAGGTAAGCCTTATTATAGGCCCACCCGTAAGTACAAGAGAAAAAAATTATTTTACTACCACTTTAAGCGATATAATTCTGCATGTATGCATAGAGTATAAGGACATTCTGGAGATATCCACAGTAGCCAGCACGTGGGGACAAGTTGAAGAAGTAGCCTCATGAAATTCTGAAGATTAAAAAACTGCTATAAGGTCAGTGCCCCCCTTACCTTCTACAAATGAAAGTGCACTAGGTAGTTCAGGTTGTTACATTTGAAGATAATCAACAAGTGGAGAGGCAGCAGAATCATATGTTGCGTGTCTGTGAGGGATCCCAAATTAGGGGCTGAAGCAGTTTCTTTGTAAAACCTTATTCCAGAATAAGAAAACTGCTTCAGCCTGAGAGGTACATGGGAGTTTCCTCAGAGCCTGCAGCAGAATTCCCTCTGTTTGTCCAATGTGCTCCTGCTCTTTAGCACCTTTAGCCCACCATTGTTCAATGAGGATCTTTGGGATACTAATGAATGCAGACTGAGGGTTTCAAAATGGACGGTGTGAAAAAATTGCAATAACACAAATGCGCTAACCAGGTTCCTGTGGCTTTGTCTCTGAAGTATCAGGCAACAGCTGAAAGAGCAAATGATTAGCTTGCATTGTCAGCAGACATGCCAGCCAAAGATGCATATTGAGGAGTCTAAAGAGCACTACTAGCCACTACACTCACAAGTGTAGATTACTCCATAAAGATATAGTGTAGTAATTACTACATATCCAGGAATTAATCCAACAAGATATGTGTAGCCAGGAATCAGTATGTAAAGGTTCAGGGAAACTCTGCCTTACCTTGTCCATGTCACTGGTCATGTTCAGGGTCCAGGCTTTGCCCAAAGTGGTTTTCAGGGCCTGGGTGCCATAGGAACAGACCACAGCCCAGGAGCTAACTCACTCATTGAACCATGTGCCAAGGTGCAGAATGCAGGATCCAGTGCCAGAGGCAACCATTACAGGTCTGTTACAGTGTCCTGATACGGTTTCCAAGATGTATATCAGGGCAACCTATGCAGAATTTTCTAGTGAGCGATATGGTGATAAGCAGTCAAATCTTGATAGAAGTGTCAGCCGAAGAAAATAGGAAAACTGATGAAAAGAATCATTTTGGGCCCTCAAACAACTCGTATATTGTTTTGTTACTGTATTGTCTCATGTTCTGTCCCCCACTATAATGTACAGTGCTGAGCAAACCTTTTGGCGCTATATAAATACTGTATAATAATAATAATAATAATTTTTCTTTCTACAACAGGAGAAGGGCCCAGCACCTAGGACACTAGCAAAAACAGGAAAGCTCATGGAATGGGCAGGGTTATATGAGTACACTGTGTGGTGGTCTCCACCAAAGCTTTTGCCATGTGCAATCATCTGAAGGTAACAGGACATAACCCATATTCTATAAATCAACTTCTTTGTCCTGTACTGTACGAGTAATATAAATACCTTTTTAAACCAGTCAGAAATAGTGTATTCTGTATAGAGATGCGCAGAAGTG